ATGTATCGGTCGACCCCTAGTGGAGTCTCTCTCATTGGTTGACGCGGCGCATCGAGCTGCAAAAGTTCAGATTTTCTAACTTCAGCGATTTGCACATCAAGCACGTCGAACGCTCAGATCGTTCAAATCGTTCAAATCGCGCTGCTCTAATCGCGCTTGAGGCGCCGCAGCACTTCCCGACGCTGATTGAAGTGCGTCCACCATAGACTTTGAATGTAAACCTGATGCTCCTGATGCTGAAATCACGTTTGGTGTGAACGCAGCATTAGACAAACCTTTTCTTTTGAGTGGCAGAATTGGGCTCCCATAGCATCGAACATCTGTAAAAAAAAAAAAAAAAAGAAACAGGAAGTGGTAACAGTTTCTACTTCTTTGTAAAAAAAATGATACATGAATGAAATGACTGGCATTTGGTACATATTTATACATTCAATAACCATCAGTGTTGAACCTCACAGTTTGAAGCTTCTAAGTTGAAAAAAAAACACTTGTGAAGATGAGCTGAAAAGAAACATTTCCATAAAACATAGACAAGGTTTTAAAATGTTAAAATAGTTAGACCCAGAGATTTTTCTCCTGATGAAGCACTACAGAGACTTTAGCACTGTGAAAAACACAAACTGAAGATCTTTAACAGATGTCACTGAAAAGATTTGCGTATGGAAACTGTGGCAGGGACTGCCTACTAAAACTGTCTTTGACTGTGGATGCACAAGTTTGGCACTGACTCTGTGAGGTGTCCAGGAGGCCTCGTATGAAGATCAAAGCAGCGTTTTTATATTTCAAGCATTTTGATATAAAAACAAGAAGATTCAGTCAGAAATCTGTGAGGATGAAGCACAAATACTTGTAAAATCTCAAACAGGGTTCATCTCAGACTCTGTGGGAGAATATTTTCCCATCATCTGTGAGTGCACAGAAGAAGATCCACTTAGCTGCTGAAAAAGAAAGCCACAGATATTTCTTTGACACGGGAGCAGCTCAGAGTCACTTAAAGTGAAAACAGCAGAACTCATCCGTCCTGTTTCCCTTTTGTCTTTTTGTTTCTAAAACAAACTCTGGAACCAGCTGCCAAAGTTTCACATGAAATCAGAACTGGCTCTTATTTGTGTTTATTTTCAGTCAACTTTAACTCCAGACTTAATGAAGTCATCAAAAGTTTTAAAAAGAACAGATTCCTCAACTGTTCAGGTTTTAGTTAGAATGTGGGATTTTGACTTGAATAAAATATATACTTTTAAAGACAAATACTTTTTTTCAGTCACTTTTCTGCATCACTGAGACACTTTGGTCCTGTTAACCTCCAGAAAAAGGCACCAACGATGCAATAAAACTCAGGAAATAAATGCAGAGATGATGGATTGTGCAGCCTCGTCATGGAGGCAGAACATCATGTCACAGACATCAGTAGAAACCTGGTGAGCATCAGTCCTCCCAGTTCATTAGACTGATCTGAAGAAGCTGGTCCCACAGGATTAAAGATTAGGATGAGGCAGGAGGCTTCACTGGTAGTTTGATTTCCGTTTGTCATCTTCGTACAGCAAAGCCTGGAAGCAACAAACAGGAAGATCAGATCAATCAAACAAAGTCAAACCAGTGAAGGCTTTCTGCTTTTAGTGATTAAACAATCAGATCAGGAAGTCTGAGAAGTGATTTTAGGAAAGAAGTTTAAAGATTTTATAAAAGATACAAAAGGCTGTAGAACAAGTGGTAAAAAGCAGATATATGGTAAATGGACTGTACTTACAGCAGGTAAAATAAGTATTGAACACATCAACATTTTTCTCAGTAAATATATTACTAAAGGTGCTAATGACATGAAATTTTCACCAGATGTCGGTAACAACCCAAGTGATCCATACATACAAAGAAATCAAACCATAAATGTCCAGAAATGAAGTTATTTGTAATAATGTGGAATGGCACAGGGAAAAAGTATTGAACACATGAAGAAAGGGAGGTGTAAAAAGAGTAAAGAGCTCTCTCAAGACCTTCACAACCTTATTGTTGCAAAGCATAATGATGGCATCGGTTACAGAAGAATGTCTAAACTTCTGAAGGTTCCAGTGAGCACTGTTGGGGCCATAATTCAGAAGTGGAAAGAACATTATTTCACCATAAACCGACCACGACCAGGTGCTCCTCACAAGATTTCTGACAGAGGAGTGAAAATAATTATCAGAAGAGTTGTCCAAGAGCCAAGGACCACTTGTGGAGAGCTTCAGAAAGACCTGGAATTAGCAGGTACGTTTGTTTCAAAGAAAACAATAAGTAATGCACTGAACCACCATGGCCTGTATGCACGCTCACCACGCAAGACTCCACTGCTGAAGAAACAGCATGTTGAAGCTCCTTTAAAGTTTGCTGCACAACATTTAAACAAGCCTGTGTAATACTGGGAGAATATAGTCTGGTCAGATGAGACCAACATTGAACTGTTTGGATGCCAGAATACACATCATRTTTGGAGGTCAAATGGCACTGCACATCAGCCCAAAAACACCATACCAACAGTGAAGTATGGAGGTGGGAACATCATGGTGTGGGGCTGTTTTTCAGCATATGGTACTGGCAAACTTCAAATAATTGAAGGAAAGATGAGTGGAAAAATGTACAGAGACATTCTTGATAAAAATCTGCTTCCATCTACCAGGATGATGAAGATGAAACGAGGCTGGACATTTCAGCAAGACAATGAGCCCAAACACAAAGTCAAGGAAACTCTCAGTTGGTTTCAGAGAAAGAAACTAAAGCTGCTGGAATGGCCCAGCCAATCACCTGACCTGAATCCAACAGAAAATCTATGGAAAGAACTAAAGATCAGAGTTCATAGAAGAGGTCCACGAAACCTTCAAGATTTGAAGACTGTTTGTGTGGAAGAATGGGCCAAAATCACACCTGAGCGATGCATGCCACTAGTTTCTCCATACAGGAGGCGTCTTGAAGCTGTCATTGACAACAAAGGCTTTTGTACAAAGTATTAGATAAATTTCAGTAAGTGTGTTCAATACTTTTTCCCTGTGCCATTCCACATTATTACAAATAACTTCATTTCTGGACATTTATGGTTTGATTTCTTTGTATGTATGGATCACTTGGGTTGTTACCGACATCTGGTGAAAATTTCATGTCATTAGCGCCTCTAGTAATATATTTACTGAGAAAAATGTTGACGTGTTCAATACTTATTTTACCCGCTGTATATAGCACCTTTCTATCCATCCAGGACACTCAAAGCGCTTCACACTACAGACATTCACCCATGCACACACACATTCACACACTGATGATGGCAAACTACAATTGTAGCCACAGCTGCCCTGGGGCACACTGACAGAGGTGAGGCTGCCATGCACAGGCGCCACTGGACCCTCTGACCACCATCAGTAGGCAAGGCGGGTGAAGTGTCTTGCCCAAGGACACAACAGCATGTGGGCATGGCAGGTAGTTGAACATGTGACTTGCGGGTCCCAAAGCCGGCTGCTCTACCACTACACCACAGCCGCCCCATATATATTCATTTGGTAACAAATGAGGTTAAATGGCAACTGCCTCTCTGTTGGTATGGGGGTGTATTGGTGCTAGGGTTGTGCATAATCGTATCGTGTGCAATTAATCGTCAAAAAAACAATCGATTACTTTTTGGTACCTGATGATTAATACGATTAACGCCACCAGTCAGACTGACTGGTGATTACTCCAGTCAGTCCACTCAGCACTCCTCTCCCCTTCAAATATGACGAACATTAAAAAAGTTCTGTAATTTATTTATCTATCAACACAATTTAAAATATGATGTATAGCCTGAAATCTGTAATTTTCACACAGTTTGGAACAATTTTTTATAAAGAGCAAATCTTTCCCACTAAATTGGTCATGTGACTACGAAATAAGTGTGTCCAGGGACTCCAGGGGATTAATCATCAAATTAATCGTTATCGGCTAAATACCACAATTAATCATGATTAATTTTTTTGACAATATTGCCCAATCCTAATTGGTGCCTTTGGCAATAGAAACCTGCACATCTGGAAAGGCAACATCAAAGCAGAAAAGCATTTCTATGTTCTAATCAAGAGAATGTTTTTTTCAGGGAAGGTTTTGCTTATTTCAGCAAGACCATACTAAATTCAAACTTCATCCATTGCAACAGTGTGTTTTCATAGAAGAGTGCTGAACTGCCTTGCCTGTGGTCAGTGCACCATGAAACCAGAGTTACAAAGTAACAAAATATTTTACTATACTTACGCTAGTTATGATAGTTTAGTTATTATGTAAATACAATAAAAATTAAACCAAGATTTAGAATAATTATCATTTTGATCTGTACATTGGTAATGTCTGACTAGGCCTTGTGTCACTTTATGTGGAACAAATTGGGCCCCAAGGTCAAAAAGGTTAAGAACCCCTGGTCTAGATTATGAAAACCATGGCAGACAACATTAACATTTTAATATAACATTATAGTCATTATGGCCAATAATTTTTCTTTTAGCACTCAAGTACATTTTATATCAGAAATTTACTTTTGATACTTGAGTACAAAACATATCAAATACTTTAAGACTTTTACTCAAGTACTATTCTTAGAGAAGACTAAATTTTACCAAAGTAATTTTATAGTAAAATACTTGTACGATTGCTCAAGTATCACTCTGAGGTACTTTGTACAAAACTGCATGAAACAAACAAAAAAAAAAAAAAAAATCCAGCAAATAAGAGTCAGTAAAGAG